GGTGCTGGAAATTTGTGCAGTAGGATGGCACACTTTATCCGGCTCGAACTTCCAATGGACAAACACTACCGTTTCGCAAACAGGGAGCAAGAGACCATTTGGGGTGATTTCTTCGGCGACCTTCATCTTTCATTCGCACACACATATCGAGGTTAGGAATTACACTAAAAGGATACTAATCACTTTTGGAGTGTTATAGGGTAGGCGTTTTTTTAACGAAGATTGTGGTGTTTCAGGAATAACCCGCATTCTTTGCTTGGTGGAACTGAAGCGCGACGTGAAGCTTTCTCAATGGGGTTACCCCACAGGCTCATCACGATCAAATACAAAATGGTATGTCACAGAAGCCCAAAACATTCGAAGTTTTGCAGGTACGATCAAATCATCCATTTCAGAAAACGGTCTACATTATGTATATCCTGGATTAGTCTCTGGCTATGTGAACCTCGGAGACATTAGAAAACTCTGAAATCCGCAATTGACTACACTTCTACTGCATCTACCCATTCGCCCACAAAAGCATAACGAAGGTTTGCTCAATTCCCGTTATTCACATGTGTTACTCTCTTTATTATTACCTTTAACTACACCCCTTTCCTTTTCAACTTTCACGCCTTCCCACCACAAACGTATTATCTGACTCGTGCCTCTTATATAGTTTAAAAATTTCATTATCAAAGACCTAGCTCGTCGAACAGTTCATCTGTGGTCTGGAGTTTTCGTATTGTTTCCTCAGCAGAGATGCTATGTTTTTCGATATCGTTCGTACCAGTCGAAGGTATTGTTTCTGGCGCTGAGGAATCGTCGCCGGGAGAGTTTGCGCCATACAAATATGGGAAGGAGGGTGAGTATACATGAGTGGAGCCAGATCCATTGCTGCAGGTATTTGATGGCGGTTCTCTATGTATACAGTTACAAAACTTATTTACTACAGTGGCAACGAATGACAGCGTGGGATCGCTATTTACTTACCTTTGGTCGCATATAAAACGCGAAAGATCCAAATCAGAATCATAATCACCTCTCTCATATTCTTTGTTTATAGCGTCCAAAACGTCATTGCAGTGTTCTGCCAAGTTTTGGCGCGGAACGCCACGCGTTGCTTCGAGCAAAGCTTTTATTCTATTTGGATCGTGAAAGTTAAATAAATAAGGGACTATGATAACGTTCTTCTTTGCACATACAATAAGCGCTCCCTGTTGTAATGTTGACGCAAAATCCTATTCACGTCCAAAACTTGTTCACGGCAAACGCAAGATCGGCTGTTCGTTTCCTCAGTAGTTTTGTACAAAGAGAACATGGCAGCAGTCAAATGAATAATAAATGTACCCAGAGCATTTCAACACAACCACTGGTTATTTAACTTAAGCTCACATCAAGATAGTACTGTTTAATCACAAAAACATCACAAGAATCCACAAGAATCCACAAGAACCACCAAAAAAAATTGTTTTTTATGCTTTTTGCCGTTGCATGAATGTGAGACAGCAATTTTCCTTTTCGAGTTTGGACCAAGGCGTCGTCTCAACAATTTGTTGAGACTACGAATCGCTCAATTTGGAAGCTTCGACCCACCTTCATATGGAAGCCGAATGCTCGGCATTTTAAATTTATTTCTATTCGTGGGTGGGGCGAACGACCGTTCGCCCTTTTTGAGAACACCCTATAACGCGACCCAACGACTTTACGTATCCCATTTGCCAAACATCCAATCATCCATAATCACGATCAAAAACAATATACTCAAATTATGCGCGTTAAACTGCAACAGTTTACGCAAAACAAACAATCCCGACGCACGGTCATCGCTTATGCGCTTCCTGCGTCTACAACAACCACATCTACTTTCTCCACAAGAGACCAACGCAACAACAGACGACATAGCCGATTCTTTCAACAAACAACTTCTGGCCAATAAGGGCCTTTGGACTCGACATTGTGGCCTTGTGTCCTTTTCACCAGATATCAACATCACCCAGATTAATGTCGACGTAGGCGAATATACATCACGCATCATCTTCGGTCACGTCGAATCGCCATCTACAGCTTTTACATCCTTTTACATTCTCGTTATTTACGCACCGGCAGATTCCTCATATCGAGTCCGTCACGCTTTTTTCAACCAACTTTTACAGTCAGCAATTTTTGATCCCGAACAGCCACTCTATTCAGAACGCCTCACTATCACCGGCGACTTCAATTATAACATACATCTTGATCAACATGCCAACCGGGCTCCGGACCAATGGCGTGCAATCATCCAATCCCGTCTCCTAGACTGCATTACCGACGTTACCAAGGAGGCACCACTGCCAACCTTCAGGCGAGGCGATTTCTTTTCCTCTACGTTGGATTTCATTCTTGCTACTCAAACTCTTCATCCAATCCTAGCTCGTGCATCAACACAAAAAATCTGCAGCGAATGGTCGGATCACGCCTTGTTGACAGCACATTGGGACCTCGGCACCCCTCCGTGTGGCAAAGGCTACTGGCGAGGCAACCCTAATCTGACTCGATTAAAACGGTTTCGCCACAAACTCGCAGTAAGGCTATCCGACCTGCAACCACGGCTGGAGGCTCACGGCACGGTACAACTGCAATGGGATCATCTCAAAGAGCAACCTGAGCAATTTATCCGTGATTATAATTATCAACATTCATGCTGGCGGACGCAACAAATTAAGACGCTTCAATATAAGCGTAACAAAATTTTTCAATCTAATCCCCCACCAAGCATCCTCACCGTACACCTCGAACGCATTGAGCGCCAACTGGATGTTCTCCAAAGAGAACTAGTGGTGGAGGCGGCGCTGCAAGCAAGTATTCGATGGCGGGAAAAAGGAGAGATATCGGCAGGATATCTGAAACGGACGGCCGAGAGTCGCCAAAGCCAGAAATTGCTTATGTCAGTGATGCACCCACAGACCAGTGCCATCGTTCGTGAACCCGCGGAGGTGCAAGAGGCTGCACGCGTTTTCTACCGACAACTGTATTCCCCAGAACCAATTTCAAAACAAGCGCTTACATATGTGCATCAAGCAATTCCCTCGTCTTGTCGGGTATCACCGACACATTGCCAACGGCTCGTGTCAGACTTTTCAATCAAGGAACTTCAAGAAGGATCGCAACGTTCACCTCGGAAGAGCAGCCCAGGGATGGATGGTCTCCCCTACGAAATATGGAACCTGGTCCTCCACCATCCTAGATACCGACAGCTGGCCTGTGCCGTTTACAACGAGGCCTTACAGGAGAGCCGCTTTCCTGCATCCTGGTTACAGACGTCCATGTGTCTGTTGCCAAAAACGGGTGACTTGTCATCGCTGAAAAACTGGAGACCGATATCATTAATCAATACCGATGCCAAAATCTTCACCAGACTATTGAACTCTCGCCTGATTAGAGCTGCAGACACTGTCATCAACCCTTTTCAAACGGGTTTCATGATGCCAGGGAGGTTCATAGCCACCAACGGGATGTTAGTCAAATTAGCGATAGAACAAACAAACAACGATACAGCCAGCTCTACCATAGGATTGCTTTTGGATCAAGAAAAAGGTTATGATCGGATCCACCCTACATACCTACGGCAAACTATGCTGCAATTCGGTTTTCCGCCGTCAGTGGTAGAGAGCATCTCGACTTTGTTCTTCTCGACGCAAATCCACATCAATATTAACGGGAATCTTTGCTCCCCGATCGACCAAGGACGCGGACTTCGTCAAGGCGACCCGATTTCGCCAGTTCTGTTCAACATCGCTCTTGAACCTCTGCTTCTGAGGATCATGCACGACTCGTCCTTCGTGGGTTTTCAGCCCAAGTGTGAACCGACTTTTACCCTTGTTCCCAAACCAACGCCACTCAAGGTTCTAGCCTATGCCGACGATGTTTTTGTGTTTTTGGATTCGCCCGCTGATTTGGCGCGTCTGCGTGTTCATCTCGACCAATATCAAGCTGCATCTAATGCTCGCCTTAATTCCCACAAAACACAAGCAATCTCTCTGTCCGGTAATCCGTTGCCGCAATGGAATGCCCAACTGACAGCCGCCGGTTTTCCTGATTGCCACGATCGTACCTGTGCCAACGCCGTGATTTATTTGGGATATCCGCTCGCAACATCACCACGCCAAAACAACATTTTCTTTGACCAACTTTTGACGAGCGTACAGACTGCTTGTGATATCCATTCTCATCGACAACTCTCGGTACGCGGCCGGGCAACCATTCTCAACACACTTATTTTGTCAAGATTATGGCATGTACTCCGCGTTGTCAGTGCTGCTCCCTCGACGTTCTTCCGCAAACTCAAATCAATCTGCAGTAACTTCATGATGACTCGTATGTTTCCACGCATCAAATACGACACTCTTTGTCAACCAAGAGCATTTGGAGGGGTCGGTCTGCTTGACCCTCTTCTACAACAGAACGCGCTACAAATCAGTTGGCTGGAGCCACTACTGAATTTGTCTGCCCATGCCTCTTACCTCACCGCATGCTTGGCACATCATCTCCTGACATTAAGCAACACATACACTGACCCCCGCTTCGCTTTGGTCTTTCCGGCAATTCGCCCTACAGCAATGCGATCACCGGACAAAATTAACACGATGCTGTACCGCGCCATCGACAGCCTACAGCTTGACTGGTCTTCTGCTCATCTATCCGCGGCCACTTTTCTGCACTTACCACTCAACTGTATCTGGGCCCCGCTTCCTGGGCACGACAAAATACGTCGTCCGGGCTTTTCCAAGCTACAAGTTTCGCATTTATTTGTATTCGACCATCAACTCGGGTATATCCGTCGCCGCACCCCGGTAGATGGGATCTACCACCGCATCTTAACAACCAGATTTTTTACCGACTTATGGGAAGGGAGGATCTACTTTCTTGCCGGATTCGCAAAAGTTGCGATACAACCTACAGCACCAGGGGGAGGCATTTTGGGTCTCATTGACGCTCAACCTTTGCACCAATACGTACAACAGCAACTGCCACGATGGCGAACCCGAGCATACAAACAACTTTGCGCGCCACCACAACACACCGTACCCCAGATCGTCGCCAAACAGTGGAAGCAATTTTGGCGTTGGCCAATGGAACATGGAGCCCGCAACCTATGGTATCGTACCATACACAACTCGCTACCAACTGCCGAGCGTCTGTTCCGTCTGGGTCTGCAGGATCTTACCAGTGCTACATGCCGACTATGCAATGACGCTATTGATACTCCCGCACACTTCCTAGTGCTTTGTCGCCACCGCCATTCCGTATGGAACCTTATCTGGGGACAACACTACTACACCGAACCGCATACTGATCGCCTTATACATTTTCTTCAAACGCTCTCGTGGCCTGACCACCATCCTCCACCAACACACCATTCGCACTACGCTCCCACTCTCATAGCCTGCACTATGGGAGGTATTTGGTCGGCGTACTGGCAATTCATCTTTCACGATACCCCGTACACTATCGCAAGCGTCAAACGCAATATCAACAAAGCTTTAACTCGTTTCCGTCTCGCCGACGCATAGTGCTATTACATCTTGTATTTAAAAAACAAAAAACAAAAGAAAAAAAACTGAAATCCAATTACTACCTTTACTTCAACCACCCCATTCCCAGAACTTGCATCCTTTGCTGTCAAGACGAACGTTGCACTCAGTCACTGCGGTGACGGATCAAGCAACCACAGTTGGTAACCTTTCTTTGCTCCTTTATCTCTTAATTTGTACGCTAGCAGTCTGCCAATGCCTCGTTACGCGTGACTGATTTCCCCCCTCTCGATATTCAATAAAATTTGAGGCCACCCACCTCTCTATTTCTCGGGGATAAAAAAAAAATCTATTTGCATACAAACAAAGCTGTTATTATTGTCGCACGATTTGAAAATCTTGGATCTTTCATCATGTGCTGGCGTATGCCGTGCACGGATCCTCCTTTAGATCATGCAAAGCCATTTCACCAATGCTGTACTTTGATCTCCTGCTGTATACAGCAGTATATTGCTACATGAAAGACACGATGACGACAGGTACGTTTTTTCGGGTATAGGAGCCGCAAGAAGACTTTCCACAATACTGCTCGATAACTGACTTTTATTCTTAGTCACTGCAAAGTCAATGGACGGCGGCTATGTAGAACACCAAAAAAAAGCCATTGGGCATCCATAGAATTAATTATCCATGCTATTGCCAAGACGATGTGATGATGGACCATTATAACACAGCTAATATTAATGGATCATCAGAGAACAATTAGCCTCTTCCAACTTGGAACGTTTTGCAACCGAATCGTTAAAAAACAAATGCACCTCAGCTCGGTCGGCTCTTATTATTCATGTGCCATGCAAAACGTACCAGTATCATGAGGAGAAAGCATAAGAGTGTTAACTTGGATATTAAAGAAACAAGATTGAATCGTGACTCCAAAGCTGGGCATACACTAAATTAAACAAGGATTACTTTCCCACGGGGTGGGACAGATCAATACACCCCACCCATCACAGTATTTTAAGGTTTGCGGCTGATGGAATATAAATTTTATGCTAAAGGCTGGAAGGAATCGAATTCTTTGTGCAATAAAAGCCACAGTTAGCAAGCGCTTCCCGATGTAAAAGTTTCTCCATCTCTCGCTAATTTTAATATCGAGCCAAACGAGACGCAAACGTTGACCTAGGATTACATATCGAAAGATTGAAAGGAGAGATGAGAGACCACATTTAATTGTTACAATCACTTAACAGAAGAAGTAAAGGTATCAAGCTTTTTTCGTGAGGACGACAAATCAAGAAACGGATAAACCTTAACCCACTCTTTTTCTTACCCCACACAAGAACAGCAGCCTCACTGTAATAACACAAGAAGATCATCCTCCGCCCGCCTAAATTTCCATTGCTGTGTGCGATCCAACATCATTAACTCCTACCACTAGCAAAGTGCTTTCATTTTTTTTGATGACACATTGGATATGACATGATGTAATTAAATTACCGGAATACGTGATTTGGCTCCGCGATTTAAACACGTCCTTATTACCATTCTTTTTTCAAGAGGATCCCTTCCGCGGATGGTTATTAATGGCATCTACAATGGTTCTCCGCACAAGTATGTAATGCACATTACATTTCATACATTTCATATCGAGCCCAAACTCGTGGTTGTTTCTTTCTCTCCAAGTCTGTCAATTTAAGGTTTGCAGTTAGCCCTAGAGATGATCCGAGTGGTGCTCGTGTGTATAGCAAATAAAGAAAACGACTTGTTTCTCAGTCCTTTGGTTTTTACACGAGCTGCTGTATATATTGTCTTTTTTTGAATGATTTAGCGCACGGTGTTTAACCTTGTTTTGAGGGGAGGGGGAACCGATTAAAGACCCAGCCCACACACATTTTTTCATCATCACACAACAGCAACAGCAGCAGCGTTTTTAAAAAAAACTTTTTTTGCGGGGTAAAGCGCCTGCAGAGAGAAGCGGACTTTTTTTTACCACCCTCTCTATGATTTCGGTTCTTTGGTGAAACTTGCATGAGTCATCTTCAATAATGATACAAAAAAATTAGTGTACAAGGTTACCAGGGCAGCGACCGGTTGTTAAGCAAAGTAACCATGCAAATTGTTGCATGGCAACACCAAAAGGATCTGTGAAGATCTTAAAAGATTCTTTGCTAGCTAGTATAAGAACAACAGCATAAAAAAAGTGTGGAGAAGAAACGACCTAGAGAAGTTTCAAGACAGGTCGCTCGCTCTCCGACGGGCAGAGTCGGGTGTAGAAGTCCCGGAATGCCCCATTACGTGTCTCGCCTTAACCAATAACCCGAACTATGTAATAAGCAGCAGCCAAAAAGTAGGGACTCAAAGGGGCCCATCCTTTCTGCTGGTATCTCTTTCTTAGGCGGCCAAAAGAGGGTGGGGGGTGGAGGGCGAATTGCAACCCACCCCCCAAGTTGAGACGAGAAACTTTTAGGCGTAAAAGTTGGTGGAGAGGCACCTGTTGGGGGGTAGGAGGGCCAACACCATCCGCGGAGTTCGCCACTAACGGTGCTTTTGTAATAAAAACCATGGCCCAGAACGAGCATATAATCTCTTCTTCTTCTTCTGCTTTCTCTTCTTGCATTTATTCTTTCTTCTTCTCGTCTACTTGATCGTAAAAGAGTTCAATGCATTGACCATTGCTTTTCCGATTTTTTCAACCAAAACCAAACGGAAACCCCTCCTCACCCCACAATAAAAACAAAAACACAACCCATCTCTTCTCAAATATCGCGCACGCGCCATAATCTTCCAACACTACTTACTCCCCCCAAACGCACAAAAAATCCATATGGACTACGAAACTATCGTCATTCCTCACAAAGCCGAAAGCGTCACTAGCACCACTAGCTCGACAGATCAACCACCTTCTTTATACTCTGGGTCGAGTATATGCGACGCTGACTCACCCATGATGCAGGAACCAGGTCCGTTTGAAGGTAAAAAAAAGAGCACGATTCATTTCAATTATGTGCATAAGCGCAAAGGATAAATGACTCATTCCCCTTCGCGTCTCGTGTGCTCCTCGTTTTAAATATAGATTTTCCGGCGATTCAGATCCCCCATGATGATGATCAAAAGGCGTATTTTGTCGACGACTATCGCAAGGTAAAGAACGATCCCAATTCATGCGAAAAAATTAAGAGATAACGGATGCTCTTACTCTTCCCCCCGATCTTCTATCCCCATGATCTAACACAAGCGCACACTCATTTTTTGTAGAACTCGATGATTTCACAATGCAACCATGTGACGATACCCGCTTCGCCTGGACCCGTGTACAATCCACAGCCACTGTTGACAAAGAAACGCCGTGCATCATCCACTGCATCTTCCGCGGAAGCAGGCGACGATCTTGAGAGGGAAGAGAAACGGTTCAAGGCTACTGTTACTACTACTCCGAGTCTTATCATCCCTACCACCACTACCTCCACCAGCGCTTCCACCACGACGGATTCAACCTCGCCTTCGGCCATTGTTCCTCCCAATCGCGAGCTCTTGACCGAGGAAGAAAAGCGTGCCAACCATATTGCCTCGGAGCAAAAGCGACGCAACACCATTCGCAACGGCTTCAAGGAAATGACCGAACTCATTCCTACGCTCAAGAACATTAACAACTCCAAATCGACAATCCTGTTCAAGGCGGTTGAGTACATTCGACATCTTGAGAAACGCAACCGGAATATGCGTGAGAAGATTAGTGCCCTGCATATGCGTGTCGAGGTCAAGCGTAGCATGGGAACGTTGAACACGAGTAATAATAATAACAACAATACCAACAACAATGAGGTACAATGGCCCGCGCCATCAAATACTTCGGGTGCCGGTGTTACGAGCAGTACAACTACTGCCGGCGTCATGGGACGTCGCAGCACTTTTTCAATGGCTCATTCATCTTCTTCACATCACACTGCCGGCAGTGCTCAGCAACCACGACGCGCCAGCAACGATGCCATGGCTGCCGCTCTGATGGCTCACAAGAGTCAGCAACAGAAGCAATTGGAATTGTTGCAGGAGCAGCTACGGATACAACAGGAACTTTTGGCGAAGCACAACATTCCGTCCATGTCAATTCCATCTTCATCCGAGTCATCCAACGCACCACCGTGCTCGCTCTATCAGCGTCTGCAATCAGAGAAGAAGGCGTCTTTGTCGTCGTTTTTGCGTCGCTACGACTCCATCTCGATTCCCTCGTCTTCCGAAGAACACCAGCATATTCAGCATAACAACCAAAACAGCATACACAATCATCATCTGCATCATCATCATCATCATCATCATCATCAACAACATCATCATTTTCCATCTACTGTAAATAATGGCATCATCCCCTCTACTACTGCTACTCGTTCTTCATCACCTACTACTACAGCCACTGTCACTACGCCAACAACAACTACTTCCCCTACTTCTCCTACTTCTTCTATCCATTGTTCTTCTACATCTTATACCCCAGCTTTGGTGATGCCTGCAAGCTTAGCCGACTGGGATACAACCCCTACTTCTCCTTCTACTACTATCACTACTACCACCACTGCTACCATTAATAGTACCACTAGTGCCACTTCCACTTCCTGTCCGAATCCTTCCGATACTGCCCCAAGCTTTAATATCCCAGCCGATGATGAATTTCATGCTCATCAAGATAACAATGCTTTGTTAAGTCGCTCAAAACTCGAACAACTACGCAAACAATAAATGTTTTTTTATTTATGCCCCTTCTCTTCATCCATTTAAAAAAAAGACTTGTGCCAATTGAAGACATGTAATGTTGTCCCGGGCCCCTCTCCTATACTGTTTTTGCTTCCATCGTGCAGTAATAGCATGCCCGAAACTGGATCGGATCCATGCGTATAACAGTACGTATGACAGCTGCTCATTTGGGTGGTTTGTCCACTTTACAATGGAGCCCGGCCCCTTTTCCCCTCTTCTTCTTCTTCCTTCTCCTCCTTATAGCGAATCACATGAGCTATGTGATACAGGTAATGTTTCCTTCATCTGCTAAGTACATACTGCTTGTCAGATGTGTGCAGTTGGGAAAGAGAGAAGGCCGAGCGCAACTGTTGAGGTACCCGCCCACAAAACAATACACTATATAAACAAGATTCCATCTTTAGAAAACTCATAACTTTGTCATCTCAAGAGGATGTTGGGAGCACACAGTGTGTGATAGAGAGAGAGAGAGTGCGTGCGTGCGTGTGTGTGTGTGTATGCCTGCTGCTGCTGCTCATGCAATGTGCATCTGCAAACCATTCGAAACTCATATGTACTACAAGGACGCTTCGTATCTTTATGGAAATAGAGACCCCGCGGTTGGCTCTTTTTGAGAGAGAGAGAGAGAGAGAAACCTTATTGAATGGCTATGACTCTATGATACTTGATAGTCATAACTTCTGGAAAGGAAATGATCGTGCTCTTTACGGAAATGAGAGATACTCGAAAAGAGCAAATAAAAAGATAAGGCGCCAAGAACATACACACGCACAAGCATACTATAACAGCCAGCAGCATGATTGAGAGGGGGGAGGGAGTGAGGTTTCTCTTTTTTGGGGGGTAGGAGTTTCCTGATGACTAAAAGGTTCAGCCGCACTAACATACAGTATCATTATCGTTAAGACTCTTGTAACACATTATGACGTGAGATATGTATGCTCCTTTTCTTCTTCCTTCCTGTCTCTTCTCTCGTACCTGTGCGTTACTCTTTATCGGCTGTCGGGGATTCTTGTAAATTTCGCTTTTGTAAGCGAATTAGATAGAAATTAATCATCCGCATCAGATTGGTTTATCCGACCAAACGTTTATGCATTATCGCTTGGGATTACCCGGCGACAACTACTATTTTTCAACCACCATCATTGATGTCAAGAATAACTCTGGAGCCATGCATAATAAGCACACAAATACATAACCCCTCCTTCTTCTTGTGGCGTCCTGTTCAAGTAGAACACTCCCAGTTTGCGTATATTGATGATCTCGTTCGTGGCAGTCTTTTGATTTCGATGATCGTCCAATTGCATTGAAGAATGCGCGATTTTTGGATTTATGCTGCAAAGGTGGGATCGATTAGAGTGATCTAGTACTAGTTAACACATGATAAACTTCAGCAACAAGATAACACTACAGAAGTATAAGCAGGTGCAGATGATAAGTGGTTAGTAAAGCTTCAATACTATAATGTAAACAAGCAAGTGTCTACTAACTAGCTCATTATCGTTCCGATCTGTAAAGATGATATACTGATGCTATCATTTCTTTTTGTCGTCAAATTGCGTAGTTATTCTCATAGTGATTATGTAGTACCTAAATCATACTTGCGAAAATTACTACATGGCAGTATGGGGCGATACAATTATTTAAAGGGGTCTCCGTTTTAGCAGCAGTGTGTAGCGGCACCAGCAAAAAGTTGGATCGAAACTTGGGAACGGCGTCCTGACAATGGATTTAGTGTGACGTTCGCGGCTGTCAGGGCCCTCAATTCGACTTTGTGTGTGCTTCCGCTAGTTTCGAACCTTAAATGTAAGGATGATGATGATTGGATGGAGACGTGGGAAAGCAATTTTTTTATTTTTTTCGATTCCGGCCCCACATTTTTTTCTTTCACATCCAAAGTGTGTCCAAAGCGTTGGAGCGAGAGTTTAGAAGAAGAGAAGCTGCGTTGTCTGAGCCATGTAAAATCCCATTCTTAAAAGCAGGATTCAACTTTAAGAAATATGAAACAGATTGAACTCTCGTTATATGCCCCAAAGTTGCTCTTGCTGAAACAACAACCCGGTAAATCCCCACACTCAACAAAAATGTCGAGAAAATATACATCGAGTAAACATAGGTAATACAGAACTGCTTGAAAACGAAATTATACTAAGCGGGTGCACATGTAGACCAGTTGTCTTTACATAATATATCGGCTATAGACAGACAAAATATACACACATAAATGATTCTAGGGTTGGGGTACAGCACAAAGAGGGATAAAATGATGTTGCTTATAGTGGCTAGCTATCCCGAAACGTAAGATGGTCTTTTGCTGCCTTTGAAGGCGTAGTAAGCTTCTAAAACATTACTGTATAAAGATAACTTTTTCCGATTTCAGATCCCAGGTAGAAGATTGTATATAAGGTCGACGGCTGGTACAACTAGCAAAGGTGATGGATGTATCAATGAGTGTGATGTTATGGTGACCAAGGTAAAAATCAGCAGTAAAGTACAAATGCACTCATAGCGTCCATAGATAGCTCTTCTCTCCCTCTTCTTACATCTTCACTTCTTTACTTCGTTACCTCTCCTCCCCAAATATCTTAATCCGTCTTGATGACTTTTTCCCTCTCTAGATGGTTTTTTTTAAAGTTAAAGCACCACCTCCTACTATGTGTTCTTTTTTCTTTCTTCTCAATCAACGCACCGCAAGGAAGCGACAAGAATGCTATAAGCGTACTGTCATTAGCCTTCCAATGACACATGACGAAGAAGGCCGACGTCTGAATGTGACCCTCTCATTTTGTATTTCGCAGCCTTGAACGAAGTGACGAAAGCTCGACGGTCGAGCTGTTTCTTCTGCGACATAACGTGTGCAGCCTTGTCAATTTATTTTAGTATGTAGTTCTCCTCGTTGTCCCTATTCTTGCTACTTTGAACCATAATATCACAAACTCCTTGACTTTTTGTTAGCTTAAGAATTTGAAGGACGCCTGCAGACATCAAGAGAAGGATATCTGGAAATTGTGAATCTACGTGTAGGCCTTGATCGACAAGCATAGCAGCTCATTAAATAAGTTATGGATTGCCTTTCGTCGTTTTTTTTTGTCAAGTCATGTTGAAGCTCCTTTCGGGCATATATAACGGTTCTTTGAAGGCGTTGGACGCATTGGAAAAGAAGCAGACAAAAAAGAACCTTGCATTGGATTGCTGAAAACCCAAATCTTTTTCTTCAATACCTAGTAGCTTTCCTATGCTCACACTCGCACACATCTTTATTTACTCCGCTTTTCTCTTTCTCTCTCTCTATCTCTCTCTCTCTCTCTCTCTTGGCTTTTGCTCTCTACGTCTCTCTCTCTCTCCATCATCTATATGTTTCTTCGTTACCACTCTGCCTCTTCTGTTTCTGCTAATTCTCTGTTGTGTATCTTTGTTCATTCTGTCTCTCTCTCTTTCGCTCTCTCTCTCTTCTTTTACTATCCCAGCTCACTTACACAACGCACACATACACATTACATTTCTTAACGTTATTTCACATGCGTTTGCATCATATCTTTTGAACTTTTCCCTCACCCTCACCTCTTTTACATATTATAGATTTCTTTTCACCTTCAATTTTATTACAATAAGAAAAACACGCGAGAAACACTGGCGTTTAACTGTTTGCTCTCTATTGTACTTATATATGTTTTAAGGATCGTGTATATTTCTAACATTTAGTTAGTGTACCATTTTAATAGCGATTTTCGCGGTCATCACGTAGAAAGATGTACAAATTGATTCAGTAAACGAAATGGTGAAGGTAGTTTTCAAGAGCAACCCCTTCAACAAGATTAGCTTCCGCTCGTTGTAATGCAGTATGGACTGCTTTCTTTACGCTGGTGGACTTCGAGTGACTTATTTATTCCCTTTGAGCAAGATAATTGGCTCAAAAATTGACCAAGTCCCGTTGGGTTTCAATTCCCAGGGACCTCGCTGGACGCAGTGGGACTTTGAGGTTTTATAAAAAAAACTGTAAGCGAAATAATGATGTCGTTGACCAAATGAGGGAGGGGCCGTTGCCCAAGTGACGATGCCGTTGACGAAATAAATTGCTGCAAGCAAATTAGTAACGCCGTTAGTGAAAAAGAGAGCCATTGACCAAGTGAAAATGCCGTTAGCGGAAAAAGGGGCCATTAGCGAAATAAAATGCTGTTGGCCCAAATCAAAACGCCGTTGGCCAAATGGAAAATCTCATTGGCGAAAAAGAAGCCCGCCGAACGAAATGGTAGGTGAGTCCTGGTCCCCGCTTGCAAAAAGTTGGACTCGCCCAAAAAATAAATTAATTGGGAAAATTTAGCGAGTAAAAGCTGGACTTGCTCCAGATGCTATATTATTGTCATTTTCTTTTTTTTTGTAAAAATTGGGGAACGAATGGGACGAGAACCGATCATTCAACTAAACTCTCAGCTCCTCACTCCTACTTCGAAAAGTAGAACCACGATGCCAGCCTGGTGGAAACAGCGCAGTTGGAACTCCACTGCTAGCTTTCACCGCATCCCATGCGTTGAGAGAAATTTTTTTGTAGCGAATGGGCGCAGTTTATGGGGCAACGTGCATATTGATGCGACTTGTGGGTTAATTTTCAGATTTCGCTTGCATCGCTTTAACCCAACAATAGAGGCGCTTCCTGTCATGGCTATTCGTTGACCTCTATTAAATCCCTCAACATCTTTATCGTCAATCATCACCCAACTGATCTACCTTTATGAATTTAAATGTAATCACTCGACTCGTTCCTTGTTCCTTTCTCATCATACGTATGTGATAGTGGTGGCTACATACTACTGTGTAGAAGAAAGAGATGTCTGTTGTAATTACTGCATGGGTAGATGATATTCCTTGTCATATTGTACCATTTATATGGTTTCTAGCCACAACAGCATCTTGATTATTATTTTTTTCGTTGATCTATCACTGTTTATATCAATTATGCATGGATTTTATTTGCTGTTAGCCCATTGTTGTTGACGTAAGTGAGTGTGTATCTCTTTCCGTAAAGAGACCAGGCAAGGTTAGCTCTGATGGAAATGTGTCCTGAAAAACATTTAAAGAAACAACTGCTGCCCAAAATTGGCAATTGAAGGTGGCGCGTACGTACATCACTCTCACCCATTCTCTTTTTCCAACCTTTTTTTTTGCCAATTGCATAGAACGCAACCCACATTTACGTCTTCTGTCAACAAAGTTTTATTATGAATCCCGAAGAAACTTTTTAAAAAAGGCGTCGAATATCGCGAAACAGGCAATGAAGCCTTCAAAAAGGGCGATTATCCCGCAGGTGCACATCACGCAGTAACTTTAGTATTACGTTTATGCTCATTTACAATGACAAAACTATGTTGCTCCATTTCATTCCATTACCCTTTTTCTTTCTCGGGCGAAATAGCATTATCAGATTACTATCACGCACTTCTGCATTTGCGAACTGTCGGTGGTCTTCAGCCTGCAAACGATTTGAAAGAGAGACCGAACGAGCAACTCGTCAAAATTTACAACAACCAGTGTGGTATGTACCTTTTACATACTTGTCCTTCAATACTCTATTTTTAAAAACACATGCAGACACACACATATAATATACACTGGCACATTCAATGTATACACAACCACTGACAACAATTTTGTAAATCATACAATAGCTGTTTTGGCAAAGCAGGAGAAATGGCCGCGCGTTTTGGATACAGCCACCAAGGTAAGATTGCAAACAACAAACAAACAAAAAGAGCAGAATGAGCGAGATATACAGATCAAGCACTTTGGATCAGATTATTGGACGTTATGATATGCTACACAGGCACGCGAAATCGATGCTGAAAACTTTAAAGTGGTCAATGCAGCAGCCATGACAAAGAGTACGAATAGCACGATCAGTAATACCATAGTATACCCCGTCCATCCATGTCCCACAGCAATCCGACGCTCCAAAATCTGGTTCATGTTTCTCAAATAAATCATGACCCCAACGCATATACTCGCAAGCCCAAGTGCCACGAAAATGTACGACACAACCTGAACTTGGATCGATGCTAGATCGTCTGTTCCAAGGTAGAATTAGAGGGTGCGAATACTTTGGTTGGCAGGTCCAACAGCGTCATAAAGCCTTCACACCATTTACATATATATGAGCATGGGTGTCTCTCTGTGTTGTGCGAACTGTCTAACTAGAGTGTTGCTTCTCCACGACGAGTGTATAATCATGTGGGGGTTGTTGTGTGGAGAAGTAAATTGAATTGAATTTACCTATTAATACAAGTACCATGATCCTAGTAATACTCCGGCCCCTGTCGCTAGTGTCGTTTTATAACTTGCGGTTTCTAGACTATTTGGTCTAACCGCAAGAACCGCAAAAACCGCAAACTGCGGTAATTGAATCGTGTGACCCAGACTTTGATATGTAGCAGTATTAACTCCCATAATACATGACTTCCCCTCCTTCTCCGTAGTTCCAATAAACATGCCTCCCAAACGTGCACGAGGATTTGGCAACAAACGCGTCTCATCTTTTGCAAGTCTTAAGAGCAACGGAGCGAGAAAAGTAATCAGGATCACGCAGCCTTTGGATCTTGGAGGCACTTTGAGTGTCCCACCTGTAGTTCAGCCAGCGTCCAAGCGATCGCCCATGCGCGATGAGAACACAAATTCTTCGAACAAGAGAAGAAAAGCTGACAATCGTGCTCAAAGCTGGGCAAACATTCTACCTTCCCTTCTTACAGCTTATAAGCAAGGTTATGGTATTGAGGAGCCTGCACCTCAGGCGCTGGTTCCCATTGACGATCCTCTGCTTTGCCATTGTCCTGAAAGCAAGCGAAAGGAAAAGACTGTTACTTGTATTTACAAGTGCGGTGCGTATAAAAGGAAATCATATCTTTGAAACAAAGGAAGAATATGTTACTGATGTTAACATGTATGCTTCAGGTATCCGTACTGCCACAGTTAAATATTGCAGCGAGTGCCCAGATCATTCGTTGCCGTTGGTATTGATGCGCCGCCACCTGTTTCCCATGACACCATCAGGGCCGAATCACGCTGTTCATATCGAGCAAATGCGCAGTTTTCATAACCTGCACTACATTTGCCGTGTTTCGGTCCATTCCATTGCAAGTTGGGCCCAAGCAGAGTATCATCAAAAGGTATTTTTTCCGGTGAAAGCGTTATTGGACAAGTGTCACTTATAGTTGATTATTCATGTAGCTTCCGATTGCTGCTAGCTTCAAGCAACGTCTTAGTGAAGCACTTCCAATGTATGGAAGGTTAATGCTTAACTTGGAAAAGGAGCTTAGAGACGATTGCGATCTTGAGAGGGCTTGTCCAGCATGCAAATACAAGGTAAACTTTTGCACGATTAGTGTTAGCATATAATTACTTTCATATACTGAGCTGATGACCTGATATTTCTGCTAGTCCGGGTCCAAGATTGTTGCTGCAGATGGCAACATGCAACTACGCAGATTCAAAAAAGCACAGGATCCGAAAGACGTGGTATTTGCTGGCCAAGAAGAAGTAGATTGGTATTGGGTGAAAAATCGCCAAGTTGTCCCGTATGGTGGATCAGTAAGTCTAAACGTTTTGAGCGATAAAAAGTGCAATTGTATGCAGCTGAAATACTAAAAATTCATGTATTTAGGCAACTGATGGATGCAGTACTTGGCAAGCTCTTGAAAAGGGACGTGGCCGGATGGACCATCTTGATCAGAATGGTGCATTCGCGTGCACTTGTGGTCACGGTCTTCCTTTGGCCATGATCGACATAACAACAGCCGGTGAACAGTGAGTATGATGATACGATGATGTCAAGATTATCGAAAGACTGATTCTCTTATCTACAAATCACTAGGTTCACCTATGTTCTCAGCTGTTTAAAAAAAGTATCTGAGATGCCATTGTATGGATCAGACATCCGCATCATGTACGATGTTGGCTGTAAAATTCGCAAGGCCCTCCAGGTGAGTTTTGTTGGACTCTTTTCATTAAGTTTAAACATTGATAAACTTGTGTATTGGTTATTAGGAAACGGAATGCTTGGACAGTATAAAGGATGTACCTATTGCGGTCGGCATTTTCCATATCACTGGTCATTCGCCAGAATGCCAGATCCACTTTCATCCTCGCCTCAAAGAGGGGTGGGGAATACAGGATGGGGAGCATCTCGAGCGGCTTTGGTCCTTCCTCAACGGATTTGTGGCCATGACACGTAACATGTCGTCTCTCAACAGACGGCTTACTCTGACTATTGCTCTTGACTTCTTTACCGAGCAGCGAATAGACAACCTTGGTACCGAGTCTCTCATGATCATTTTTAAAAACTGCGTTGCTCTTTGCTAATAATGAACTTACTACTAGGTGTGAACCTCCGACGTAGGTTCGAACGCGCGGTGGAACTCAAAGCTGACGCTTTGGAAGCACTAAGGAACGCCGGTATTGAAGAGAATGATAACATTTCCATTGCCTTAATGGCAATGAAATGGCAGGACCATTTGGATGAGACGGCTCAGAGAGAAACAAGCAATACAGGACGAGGTGGAAGGTTTGGCGTCTCTAGCAGAGCCATAGAGAACTTGCGTCTTGCCATCGCCGTTTACGATTTAATCGAACAGGCATTCAAACAACAGGGCAATGGTAATTAGCTATCAAGGATGTCTTAATGGGGTTAATGACTAATTTGCATTATGCCATTATTTTCTAGGTCACAATCGTACGCAAAACCTTGCAGCGCAAAGAAAAGCCGCTCGTAAGCAGGTTGATATCAAATTTGACCAGTATATCGAGAAATTAACAAGAGCTCCAATTTTTGGTAAGTTTATCAGAATACATATACATACACTGAAGCTGTTATTAAAGGGTACAATTATAACGACAGGCTATGACTTGTACAAGGATTCAAACACTGTGTTGAAAAAGAACAGCCACTTTCGTTTCCGCTGTAACATCATTTCTCCTGTGGAAAACGATGCACCCTATGACGCTTTCCATGGTTTAAAAAGAGCCAACGAAGAGCTCGAAATTTTGAAGGTAATAAATCGCGCGTAAGAAACTGAGCAATGTATCTGCGACTCTAATATGCAAACAAACAAAAAAGGACGAAGCTGCTTCAGTTATTAGATTCGGCGATGACGTCGTGAAGAAGCGTCAAGACGCCATTGCATCTGTACCGGAAAACTTGCAAGTACCTTTGAGCGCCGGATTCTGGTACGAGAGACAAGGCATGGTGGTTATATTGAAGCGGAAGTTGGAGAGAGCCGAGACATGGGTGAAAGATCAGAAGCGGCTATTAGCCAAAATTGCTGATGGATCAGCTTTCAACGGCACCGCTACGCAGTCCAGACTTGCATCGACAACAGTACGACAGCCAAACGAAGATGATAACGAAGATGATGAAGAAGGTGAAGGTGACCAGGAGACAGTAGAGCTGGCACCCAAGTTGCAAGGAGAGAATGAGAACGATGACGATGACGAAGAGTGGATCGATGAAGATGACAACATGTTCGAGAGCATTTTCGCTGCCGATGAAGTTCCGGTATAAAAAAAGTAGTAAATATATCAACAAAACTAAGATCAAATGTTACTGTTGTTATGGTTAGATATCTTTAGAAGTTATCCCGATCGATGTTTGGCTACAGCGTCTGCAGGCAATCTCTAATCAATGGGTGTATACTACCATGGAAAACAGAATGCATCGGCACTATCGATTATGCATGTAGGTGTTCAACGCATACTTCGTTAGTGAAACTTACCGTTGCAAAACAATTAGGTAAACGGAAAATATTATGGATAAAGCGATTGATTGTATTCTAGCGCTAGCACTTACTGCTGCTGGTTTGAGGGCTATCTTTTCATGAAACGTACTGAGTAGCATTATTTAGCTTTTACCGTTTGTCATTCGGTTCCCCCAAGGGCGGGAGACGAAGAGCTACAAAAAGTTAAGTATAAAACATAGATACTCATTCGAACAAGCGTAATAAATTGCAACATCAT